TTCCTGGAATTCCACAGGCACCTACGTCAACGAGGTTCCCCCACCTGGGGCGAATATCGTCAGTGGTATGTGGATTTTCAGGGTGAAGCGGCTGCCGGGTTCTCCGCCTGTCTTCAAGGCGCGTTACGTGGCTCGGGGCTTTAGCCAGCGGCAGGGAGTTGACTACTTTCATACCTTCTCTCCCACCCCGAAGATGACCACTCTTCGGGTGCTGTTGCACATAGCCACTCACCGCGACTACGAGCTTCACTCTCTTGACTTCAGCACTGCTTTCCTGCAGGGCAGCCTGCACGAGGAGATCTGGCTGTGCCGCCCACCTGGCTTCACTGGGTCGTTTCCTCCTGGTACCCAGTGGAGCCTCCGGCGGCCAGTCTACGGTCTCCGCCAGGCGCCCCGTGAGTGGCACGACACACTGAGGACTGCACTTGCGGCTCTTGGGTTTGCTCCTTCTACAGCCGACCCGTCGCTGTTTCTACGCACCGACACCTCTTTGCCACCATTCTACATCCTCGTGTACGTCGACGACTTGGTCTTTTCCACTGGTGACACTGCTGGACTCGCCCACGTGAAGTCGGAGCTGGAGAAGAGACACACGTGCACAGACCTGGGTGAACTGCGCAGCTACCTTGGCTTGTAGATCACCCGGGACAGAGCACAGCGCACCATTACCCTGACTCAGTCACACATGGTGCAGCAGGTCCTTCAGCGCTTCGACTTCACGTACTCCTCGCCTCAGGCCACTCCTCTGTCTACTCGCCACTCGCTCTCAGCTTTGCCTTCGGATGAGTCCGTAGAGCCGAGTGGCCCGTACCCAGAGCTTGTTGGCTGCCTCATGTACCTGATGACCTGCACACGACCTGACCTTGCATACCCTCTTAGCATCTTGGCACGCTATGTTGCTCCTGGGAGACACCGACCAGAGCACATGGCTGCAGCGAAGAGGGTGTTGCGCTACTTGTGTAGTACGTCGGCATGGGGCTTGTGCTTGGAGGGCGACGTCGAGTGGTCCTCACTGGTCACGCAGACGCTTCTTGGGCTAACGACCAGGCTACGCAGCGGTCGTCACAGGGTTATACCTTCAGCCTTGGCTCCGGCTCTGTTTCGTGGCGGTCTACCCGCTCGTCTTCTGTTCGCGGCTCCAGCTGTGAGGGTGAGATCTACGCGGGGGCCATGGCTGCACAGGAGCTATGCTGGCTCACCTACTTGCTGACTAACCTAGGAGAGCCGCCTGGTTCTCCTCCAGTTCTGTACGTAGACAACAAGGCCATGCTGGCCTTGTGTCGGGAGCACAGACTGGAGCACAGAACGAAGCAAATTGCTCTTCGCTACTTCCTTGCTCGTGAGCTGCAGCAGCGTGGTCAGCTGCGCCTTGCTTACGTGGCCTCTGAGGCCAACACTGCTGATATCTTTACCAAGGCACTTCCGCTTTGTGATCATCAGCGCTTCTGTACGATGCTAGGTCTTGTGCCTACTTGGCCTCACTTGCTCACTTCTTGACCTTGCTTGTACTGTGATCTTATTATATTTGCACTTGCCTGTTTACCTTTATGTATGATCTTGCATGTGAACTGGCCTTTTGGCCTTGCTCTTGTGCTCGGATTGTGTGGTGACGTTGTGATCCACCCTGAGCTTGCTTTGCTTTGCTTGACTAGTCTTGTGACCTCTTGTTCTCCCCCACTTTGCCTATGGGGGTGTGTCAAACTTATATCCTATAGTCTGTGTAGGCTGTAGTGTAGACTATATGGGGTAAAACATTTCTAGGTTTTCCTACTTGTACCCACCTCTTTCCTAGTTTGTTCATTCCTCATTCTTCACAAAGCCGAGGCAGCAGACACAGGAGGGGGTTTACAGAAACTGCTGGCCGACATACCGAGTGATCAGGCAGCACTGTTGAAGCAATACAGCGACATTTTCCCGGACGACTTACCAACGGGACTGCCACCTCAGCCACTGCACGACCACAGGATAGAGTTAGAATCGGGGGCACAGCCAACAGTACAGCGATAGTTCCGACTGACCCACCCCGAACTGGACGAACTGCGGAAGCAGCTCGATTACCTGCTCGAGAAGGAATTCATTCGCCCTAGTTCATCGCCCTTCGCAGCACCGATACTGTTCACACCGAAAAAAGACAGGAGATTTCGCATGTGCATAGATTAAAGAGCACTGAACCAGGTTACCATCAAATCCCGTTACCCCATCCCGCGAGCCGAGGAATTGATCGACCAACTGCGCACAGCCCGGGTTTTCTCGAAAATCGACCTCCGAGGGGGTTACCACCAGATTCGTGTCAATCCACCCGACTGCCCTTAGACCGCATTTCGAACACGCTACAGATCCTTCGAATACACCGTCATGCCCTTCGGACATGAAAGGCGTGACACGGTTACATGGGCTCGTGCCCTACGTGTCAGGTGATGAAGAGCTCGAGGAAGCGGAAGGCGGGTCAATTGCAGCCGATACCACCGCCCGAGCGCGCCTGGCAGCAGGTCACCATGGACTTCGTCACAGGGTTACCTTCGAACCCTGGGGGTAACGACGCGGTGATGGTCGTCGTTGACAGGTTGACGAAGATGGCACACTTCGCTCCGTGCAAAAAGTCGATCTCAGCCGAGGAAACTGCTCGTCTGTTCATTGCAGCCGTTGTTCGCCTGCACGGGATACAAGCAGCAATTATCAGCGACAGGGACACGAAGTTCACCAGCAACTTCTTGAAGAACCACTGGGAGCAGTTCGGGACAAGGCTACAATTCAGTTCGTCGTACCAACCCGAGACCGATGGTCAAACGGAGCGGACGAATCAGACGATGGAGCAGTTGATTCCTGCCACATGCGACGACCCCACGACCTGGGAGCAGCAGCTGCCGCTGATCGAGCTCGCGTACAATAATGCCACGTCAGCGACGACGCAGCAGTCCCCCTTCTACCTGAACTACGGGCAAAACCCTACAGTGCCCATGACGCCGAGTCCGGACAACCCAACACCACGTGCACAGCAATTTGCCGAAATTCTGCAAGCTGCCCGCACTAGAGCCGCAGAAGCAATTAAAAAAGCAAACGTCATCGCTAAGCGCAGCGATGACCGCCACCGCCGCCCAGTCACATACCAGTCAGGGGATTACGTACTGCTCGACTCGCAAAATCTGCGACTGCCCGACGTACCAAAACTTCGACCGCGTTACTGTGGCCCATTTCAAATCAGCCACATGATTACGCCAGTAACCGCGCATCTACTGTTACCGACCGACTGGTACATCAGCCCTTCGTTCCACGTCAGCTTGCTTCGCCCCTACATCCCAACCACAAGCCAACTGCCTCGCCACCGCCTGCCATCCATGACTCGCCTTGCATCGGAGCCGATCATCGCGCCCGAAATAATCCTGAGCCATCTGATTCGACACCTCACGGGAATCAAGAGGATTGAATTCCTCGTTCGCTGGAAGGATCGCACGCCAACTGAGGACAGCTGGGTGCCCCTGGCCAACATCGAAAACCACCCTGCCCTGCAATTGTACCTGAGGAGCCGGGGATTCCTCGATATACACGCACTCGCGTAGCGGAGGGGGCTTCTTCAAGGGGGGGGGTAGTGTAAGGAATTTTCTCGGCATTCCTTACGGAGCCCGACTACATCGCGTACAGCAACAGCCGTTGTTCGCCCGTTACTGCTAACGGGGCTTCGCCGACTTCGCGCGCACTGTTTCACCAAACCTCGCACTGCTGGCCTGGCCGTGTCGGCCTACGCTTCGGGACTAGCCCGAGCCTCGTTTCCAGCGTAGCACTAGCTAGCTCGCACGCACCGCGTTACCGTTTGCATGTTTCGCGTATAAATGTTCGCTCATGCCTTCGCTCACATTTGGTACTCGTTTTGACACCTTAGTGCAATTCTCGCTACTTCGATTCATTGCACCCGTAACACTAACTGTAATCTTAGACTCGTTGATCCCTGGAAGAGCAGAGTGGGTAAAAAAAAAAAATGCAATTGTGAACAGTAACATGGAGAACATCTGGTACATTCATATAAAGTAGCACCGGTACCGTAACAGTGCAACACTATACCGTACGACATGTCATGCCACCACAAGAAGTAGCGGTACCTACCTATTTTACAACATGCTAGATAACTAATTTGGCGGATCGGCGAACATGTGAGCAGCATCCCACATACGGTATGTATATTATCTGCCTGCCTACATACACACAAATTACGTCTAGTCGAGTCAAAAAAACCCTGCAACCTTCACTACCGTCCTCAAGAAAGTCTCCCCTCCCCCCACACTTATCCCTCTCAAGCTCTCGCCACCATTCGCTCTCATACCCGGTATCACCTACCGTAGCTTAAACTCGAGCCATATCCCTCAGCAGAGACAGCCGTATCATCATGATGGCACTCACAACACCCATACACCTATTGGCTGTACAGGCACCACTAGATGAGCATCACCAGGGCCATCAAACAGCCTATCCATCCACGCGCCATACTACTAAAATGACAATGGCTGTCAGCCAGCAGCATTCCCAGCATCAACGGCATCAGCAGCACAAGCAGCAGGAGCGGCACAGGCATGAGGGTGAGCGGCATGCCGCCGTAGCTGATGGCCCTGTCCACCAGCTGCCACAACAGCAACCTCCAGGGCTCCACAACCAGCAACCCTAGAGGCATTCATCGTTGGCAGCATGCGCATCCCTAGCAACCCTAGCAGCAGCCAGGATTGGAGCAGGAGCAGCAGAAACGCTATCAGCGCGTCCAGCGCCAGACGATGAAGGTGACAATGAGGGTGAGCAGCATGAAGAGACAGCAGGAGGAGCAGAAGCGAAGCGCGAGCTACAATCAGCGCGTCCAGCGCCAGACAATGAAGATGGCGATGAGCGTCAGAAGCATTCTGCCGTGGCTGATGGCCCTGTCCACCAGCTGCCTCACAAGCCATCCCCAGGCCTCCACAACCAGCAAACTTCCCTAGCAGCAACCACCAATGGCAGCATGCGCATCCCTAGAAGCCCTATCAGCGCGTCCAGCGCCAGACGATGAAGATGACAATGAGGGTGAGCAGCATGCCGCCGTAGCTGATGGCCCTGTCCACCAGCTGCCGCCGGTTGATCTTCTTCAGCACTGCGTCTGACAGACCCACGTAGTTCAGCATGTCCAGCGCTCGCCGCTGGGCGGACTGTGAGGGCAATGGGGGATGAGGGGTTGGGGAGAGGAAGAGAATCAAGAGGGGGCTTTGTGCTGCGTCTGACAGACCCACGTAGTTCAGCATGTCTAGCGCTCGCTGCTGGACGGACTGTGAGGAGGGGAGGGAGGGGGGAAAGGTGGAAGAATGAAGGCGCGGAGAGAGTGGGAATAAAAACACTTAGAAACAAACGCGATTTGGAGTATCAGCACCACTTTTGACAGCCCCCGGGGTTGAGCATATCTACAGCTCGCCGCTGGGCCGACTGTGTACAGGGGATGGGACCCGGGGTGCATTTTGAGGCGCCTCAAAACGCACCTCCCTACACGCGGATTTTGAGGCGCCTCAAAACGCTGGGCCGACTGTGTACAGGGGATGGGACCCGGGGACCGGGGGAAGAGGGGGGAGAGGATTGGGATGGGCCTTGCAGTTTGGGTTGAGTGTGGTTTACAATAGTAATAGAGCATCTGACAGACCCACAGAATCAAGCATGTCCAGAGCGGGGAGCGGGAAGGGAAGCGGTCACAACCGAGGGTGCTTCAAAGCATCCGGACGGATTCAAAACGACATCTAGACTGCATCTGGGCGGCATCTGGGCAGCATCTGGACTGCATTTGGATGGCAGCACTCTGCCTGAAATCAGGCTCAGGTTCGCTGGAATGAGGCGATCTACATACTCCTGTCATTTCCCTCCAATCCCTCCAATCCCTCCAATCCTGGCAAATCCCCACTCCCTTTTCTCCCCCCACCCACACAACTCATTCAGTGTGCCTCCCTATAAAGCGTCTGTTGTGAAAGAGTCGCAATCCCCTCAACAACGTTTCATCAAGCACTCGCACGGCCCTTCTCCCACCTCTCCAACCCTCCCAACCCCTCCCCTCCACACCCCAGCGCACCAACCCTAACCCATTGAAGCCACTTTCACCCTAAACACCTTCCCCTGCTGTACCATGAGTGAAAGCGTGGAATCCCCTACAAATAGTCAAGCACACGGTTCTTCTCTCACCTCCCCAACCCCTCCCACCCCTCCCTTCCCCGCCACCCCACTGCCACCATCCCTAACCCAGTCGAACCGTTCTCACCTTCAACAACTCCCTCTGCTGCGCCACGTGTGACAGCGTCGCAATCCCCTGCGCCAATGTATCCTCCGGCACGTGCCCGCCCCCCCCCCCCTCCTCCCCTCCTGTTGTCCCCCCCCCCACGTGACAGCGCAGCAATACCCTGCGCGAACGTGTCCCCAAGCACACATGGGCCCCTACCCTCACCTCCTCCACCTCCCCCCGAGACCTCCCGTAACCCATCCCCACCGACCCCAACCCAGTTGAACCACTCTCACCTTGAGAACCTCCCTCTGCTGCGCCATGTGTGACAGCGTGGCAATCCCCTGCGCCAACGTGTCCTCTAGCACGCGCCCCGCCCTCTTAGCCGTCTCCATGTCTCTAATCTCCGCGTCCGCCTCGCTCAGGATGCGCCCCCCCTGCCCCCCCGCGCGCGCCACCAGCAGCTCCGCCCGCTCCTGCGCCTCCCTGCGCCGCCTGTGCTCCTTCGCTGCGCACCGGTCTAGCGCCAGCCGTAGCGCCTCCGCCTCCTCCCCCATCACCTCCACTCGCCTGGGAGTTCAAGGTGGGGGGAGGGGGGGGGGATGCGGGGGGATTGGGGTCAGGGCGGAGGGGAGAAGAATGAAAGAATGAGTATAAAGTCAACCGTACAGCAGAGATGGGGAACGGAAGGGGGGAAGAGTTAGGGGGGACAAGGGGGAAGAGTTAGGGGGAACAAGAGGGAAGAGAAGGGGGGAGAGAAGTTGGGAAGGGAGGTTGAGAAGAAATGGGGGAAGAGAAGGGGAGAAGAGAAGGGGGGACGAAAGGAGAGGAGAGAGGAGAGGAGAGAAGAGAGAAGAGAGGCAGGCGAAGCGAAGGGTAAATCCATCCCATGAGCTACCTTCTAGACAACTTTTTTCATGAAGGATAACTCGTACCCATGCTCCTAACTGCAGTCCCCAGAAATTACCTCCGCCATAGCTCCCGTTGCGTCTTGTTCGCGTGGTTGCGCCAAAGCTGCCCCATATCCGCGCACATGCGCTGCAGTTCCGCCAGCTTCACGCGCAGCCCGTCCATCAGCGCGGGATCCACCGCCACCGCTCCCGCCGGCCCCGCTGCGCTTGCGCTGCCTCCGGCGCCGCTCGGATCGCGCGGCGCCTCGGTGAAGAACATCGGTGCCGCCAGCGGGCCGCCTGCTCCCGACTCGCAACGTTCGAGTAGCTCTATACCGGAGGAGAGCTCGAGCCGCCTGCGCTGCGCTGCGGCGTAGACGTCGGATAGGGTCACAGAGCCCTGAGGCATAGCCATGGCCGCCAAGCGTCGTGATCGACGTGACGTGCGGACGGCGTCAGTCGTAACGCGATCGAGGAGTCCCGAGACCTAGGAACCCTGTTAAATCGTAAAGGTTTGGCAAGAGATTATTAAGAACTTGGGTTCGCGTAGGGCTCCGTGCGACTTCAGAGAAATCGCAAAGAACGGAGTTCCGCAGCTGATTCACTAACTTAATTCAGATGTATCCTCCAAGACACAGGGCACACGGCTTACGATCGAGCGACGATCCAGTGACGGATCGATGGACTCGCAAACGCACTTAAGGCAAACGGATTCGCGAAAATCAGCGACCTGGCTGGCAAATCAAGAACTTATGTTTAGTCCAAAAAGGCGGGGAAGAAAACAACTCGAGCGAAGGAAGTCCGTGCAGGTGCTTGGTGGGTTGGATCGGCGGGATTCGGCACAGGAGTAGCGTGCGGTGCAATCTCGAGATTGATGAATCGAAAGGTGGGCTGAAGTGGTTGTCAGAGCTTCGCATTTGCACAAGGGCGTGTCGTAACTCGTTCAACGAATTCGTGATGCGACATTGCGAAGAGAGCGTGTTAGCGGAAACGGTTTTGCGAAAAGTGATTTCCAAGCGAGTGATGGTTCGGCGGAACAACGACGGCCCTCCAGGACGATGATGTGGACAGTCTGCGAGGGGTTACCTACGGATACTTCGAGATCTACGAGGGAAAGCTGGCGCTTCGTTTGTGTTCGCGAAACTTCTGGCATCATTGGTTGACCCTCACAGGGCGGGTGGAGAACAACGGGTTGCGTCAACGGCTCTGATGCCCAACCTCTCTGGTCGGCACGTTCGGTAACCGATATGGGACGGGCCTTCAACTCGATAGTAAACCACGCTCCCATACACCGCCTGAGCGATTTGATGGTAGTGAGACCATCGTGCCAAATCAGAGAAAGGTGGTTTTAAGAGTCATAAGATGTGTTCACAGCACAATTTAGTGCTGATGACAGGTCGTACAGTGTAAGTACATGACTGACCAATAGAGCGTCTAGTGAAGTACGATACAGATGCAAACAACAAAGGATAACTACCTTAGTTGACCAAGTACCCCACTTGAATGGCTCTATTCTAGTACCCTGCCTACACTACATCAGAGGCTTTGCTAAGTCCAAGACAAAAATCGTATATCAGCTACATACAAACCTTTGGCTGTAGCCTAAACCAGAAGTTTCCTTGCCCAATTTAGACCCTTGAGAAGAAACTTAAATGGCTTTGGCACATGTAAGAGATCTACCACACTTTCTCCTGGAGGCACCACCAGCACCTAAAAGGTACGCGATAGGTGGGAGACAGGGGGGGGGAAGATGGAAGGTGGGGTGAGGAGAGAGAGGAGCTATTAAACCAGAAGGGAAGGGAATGGAGGAAAAGGAAGAGAAGGGGAGGGGAGGGGAGGGGAGGGGAAGGGAGGGGTGGGGAGGGGAGGGGAGGGGAGGGGAAGGGAAGGGTAGGGAAGGGAAGGGAAGGGAAGGGAAGGGAAGGGAAGGGAAGGGAAGGGAAGGGAAGGGAAGGGAAGCGAAGGGAAGGGCAGGGAACGAAAGTGGAGAGCAGAGTGAGCTCACGTTGACTCGCCGTCTACCCCAGTGTAGGGCCTCGTTGTGTGAGTAGTGGTAGAGGTCTATGCGCGTGGCTCCCCGAATGGCTGACCCCTTGTCGTCCACCTGCCAGTGTATCCAAACATGTGCAGACACATAACACGACACAGAGAGAGGAGACGACATTTTTGAGGCACCTAAACAATCGAATGGCTGACCCCTTGTCGTCCACCTGCCAGTGTATCCATGCACGTGCAGATACACGGCACAGAGAGAAGCGATGACAGTTCAAGAGAAGACAAAAGGAGAATAAGAGCACACAAGACAAGACGGCAAGAAACGGGAGGACGACAAGGCATGGCAGGACAAGACACGACAACAGACACGGACCGGAAACGATAAGATGACAAAACATGAGAAGACGATGCGACACGGTGCACGTGACATGCCATGCCAAATACCAACCCTGTAGCCTGCTCTCCTCCCTCTGTTACAAGCACTCTGCGCCCCACTCCCTCCACCTCATCAAACCCAGCCAACCTATTCCCACAACTATTCCAAACCACACAAAAAACATATCCCAGAATGACCTGTGCGTACACCTCCCAGCTTGCACGCGCCCCAGCTTGCACACCTCCCAGCTTGCACGCGCCCCTGCTTGCACACCTCCCTCTCTCTCAAACCTCCTGCCCCCACACGTCCCCTCTCTCAAACCCTCCCCCCCCCCTCACTCACAATGCCCCATCCATATCCCGGGATGAACATTTGGGTGCCAAACGGGTAGTGCGCCGTGTCTGCTGCAATGGTGCCGTGCCGGGGCAGCAGGGACCAGAACCATGCACCACGCATCCAGGCAGCACCTGCACAACCCCACGACAGAACATGATCCTTCAAACCCATCCCTCCTTCCACGGTCCACCCACATCTCTCATACTCCCCCACTCACCCACTTCCCTCCGTCTTGCTTCTCCTCTGATCCTCGCTCACCCCTCCTTCCACCCACTCACAATGCCCCATCCATATCCCGGGATGAACATCTGGGTGCCGAAGGGGTAGTGCGCCGTGTCTGCTGCAATGGTGCCGTGCCGGGGCAGCAGGCGCCAGGGGAACAGCAGCAGCCGCCCTGGAATCTTCTGGAACTGGGAAAGGGAGAGTGGTGAGAGGATGGGCGGGCGGGACTGGAAGGGGGAGAGGGAGGGGATGGGGGAGCGGATGGGGGGTTGAATTATAAAAACAACTTAGTTTCTGAGGGTCCAGGGGAAGAGCAGCAACTGCCCAGGAATCTTCAGGAACTGAGAGAGGGAGAGCGGTGAGAGGATGGGCGGGCAGGACTGGAATGGGGAGAGGGAGGGGATGGGGGAGCGGATGGGGGATGGACTTGCAATGGCAATTTCGAGTATTCTAAAAAGCTGGTTTCAGAGGCGCCTCAAACGCAGGCACCCTGCAATTCTCTGGAACTGAGAAAGGAAGAGGGGCGCGAGGATGGGAGCGCGAGACTGCACGGGCGAGAGGAAGGGGGTGGGGGGGGAAGAGGATGGGGGTAAAGCTTGTAGGAATGACTGTAGAGGCGTCTCAGAAGCAGACGTCAGGAGAGTGGAAACTGGGTAGGGATTGCGGAAGCAGAATGATTAACACAAAGATTTTCTCTCCACATACCCACCTGAGCGGGGTATCTGCCATTTGCAGTAAAATAAAATACCCACCTGAGCGGGGTATCTGCCATTTGCAGTAAAATAAAATACCCACCTGAGCGGGGTATCTGCCATTAGCAGTAAAATAAAATACCCACCTGAGCGGGGTATCTGCCATTTGCAGTAAAATAAAAAACCCACCTGAGCGGGGTATCTGCCATTTGCAGTAAAATAAAATACCCACCTGAGCGGCGTATCTGCCATTTGCAGTAAAATAAAATACCCACCTGAGCGGGGTATCTGCCATTTGCAGTAAAATAAAATACCCACCTGAGCGGCGTATCTGCCATTTGCAGTAAAATAAAATACCCACCTGAGCGGGGTATCTGCCATTTGCAGTAAAATAAAATACCCACCTGAGCGGGGTATCTGCCATTTGCAGTAAAATAAAATACCCACCTGAGCGGGGTATCTGCCATTTGCAGTAAAGCCATGGTAGGGACCTCCTTTGAGAGTTGTATCGGTCCAGTATCTTGGGTGATGGAGCAGAGGGACGAAAGGGGGGGAGAGTGGGAGAGTGGTGAGTCATCAGACACAGACACGCACAGGCGACTGAAAAAACCCCCTCAGAATCCACCCTTCAGAGTTGTGTCGCTCAGTAACTGGGGTGACGGGGCGGAGGGGTGGGACGGGCAAAGTGCGCAGCGGACACTCGTACGTTCTTATGTCCCGTTTGTCCCCTCTTCCCTCCCTCTCTCCCTCCCTCCCTACTTCTCTCCCTCCCCTCAACCCATCCAACCCCCTCCCTCCCTCCCCCCTCCCCTTTCCCCCGTCCGCTCCCCCTACTCACTTGGCAAAGAGCGGAATGGGCGAGTCGACCCACCCCTTCTTGCGCCGCCTGAGGCGCAGGGGCATCCACCCGGGGACCACCCCCACGTAGAAGGACCCGGGAAGCTTCAACCCCCACTCCCACTTGCAGCAGTACCCGCAGCTGATGGCAGGGCAGGGAGGGGCGACGAGGGGAGAGAGAGGGGGAAATGAGGGTCGACGGGGAGCAATAGGTCCAGTGTGGTTAGGAGAAGGGAGGGAAAACGGCCAGGACGGGAAGAAAGGCAAAGTGGAAAAGCGGCCATCCCATGCCACGCTACGCGACTGAATGCAATGAGATGCCACGACCATCCGAGGAATTTCATGCCGCGCATAATTAAGTAAGCCCGTACACACCATGTCATGTCATTTTTGTAAAGCCCATCAACCGCACACACCACATGTTATAACCACCCGACAGGTCTTTTCTAGTCGAGTTGAAATTGCAAGTTATAACCGAAGACAGCCCTTTCGGGTCTAAAGAGTAAACACGCCATGTCGAAAATACGATGTCTCCGTGTTTCAACACCGGCACCTCGTTACTATCACCCTTCTGACCCTGTGATTACCCCCAGGCACCAGCTCGGTACAATCACAGGGCGTCACCTGCAATAAGCCGTGCATTCGATGACTCGTCTACAAAGCGCCGTCTTCGAAGTCGACTCAGCGGTTACAAAGAATCACCTGCAATAAGCCGTGCATTCAATCACTCTTCTGTAAGGTGCCATCTTCGCCAGCGCGCTCGCGGCTCGAGCCTTTCCCCTTCTTCCGCCTTCCCCTCCGGTCGCAGATTGTAGTCCAATCGCTGCCGCTGCCGCCGCCGCAGCTGGTGCTACTACTTCTGCTGCCGCTGAGTGCTGCTTACTTGCCCTACAGTCACCCTCGTTATACGCTCGCGCGTTTCGCGCACGCCAGTTTAAACTGTTTTCTCTG